GAAGTGAACTTTAACATTCTTCGCACATGTTACATGTGTATATATCGTGTGTAATTATGTAAGTTTTGGTCGGTGAGGCCACCGCACGAGATTTTTAAATATCAGTAGAATTTAAGGTGACACCGTTTGGTGTCGCCGAATGTAGGACAATTATATTACGCGCGGCCTCAACATCTCAACAAGTTAGAAGAGATTATTGACAAAATGTAAATATGTTATTGTGTGCTGGGTTGTGACTAAGCCCGATACGCCTTGCTCTCGTTTCAATCGGTGGAAAAATGTAAATAGCACTGCAAACAGCAACAACAAAAGGGAAAGTTACAATTAATGTTTCAATTTTCAATATGCCTGTGCCAATGGACTCGGCCAGCAGAATAAAATGCAAATCGCAGTATTGTCGCCGAATGTCTTTCTGCTGAAACAATTTGGTCGCTTTTGCTAGACAGCTTTCGTTAAATACGTTCGGTGGCCGGGAACCACACTTATTTACGATCTCACAATTTCTTATCTCCGACAGGCCTCACCTCCACCTTTGTCTCGCATCGCTTCTGCGCTTACCGCCGCTTATATGCGGGAGGTAGCCGCAGCCGCCACGTACTTAGTTACTACCTGACTAGCCTGACGCTTTTTACATCGCTCACCTCTCCGAAACGCGGGGCGGCCGAGACCGCGCAGCAAACCAGCCGGCGTCTGATTATGTCTGTTGTCCGTCTGGTCGGCAATTTTTTGCTCGCATTTCCCCGCAAGTTAATTTAGGAATTTTGCGCGGCAATAATTTACATCTTTAAGGATGCCCAATCGACCGACGAAATTGGTGTAACAAAAGACGCAGCCGCTCTGCGAGCAACAAAACAAAACAACATCTTGCATGCACCTTCCTTCATGGACCGCATTCGCAGACCATGAGAATCGGAGACGCAGAGACGAAACTCGACCACAAATATACCACACATACACCAGCTCAGCGCGTGCAAGCAGCGCGGTCAGTGGCGACCGGCCCCCAGGCGCATTTTACTTCTATATTATAATAAATATATAGAGAATACCCATATATTTAGCACACGGCACAACGGGTTCACTGGAATAGAAGAAAGATGGCACACTGCACTGCGCGCGCGGTGCATCGACACGAAAAACAAAGCGGTTTTCGGGTTCATCAGCATCGGGGCGAGGAGATGCCTCATCGGGCTTCGCAAAACACGCCGCCGTGGGGACCGCCCAGAATCTTTTAAAAGTTTCCTACAAACCATCAGCAGCGACAAAGATGCACCAAACCGACAAACAATCTCATTTTGGTTCTGCGCGCTTGTGTATGTGTGCTGTATACCCAATATCCAAACCCCAGCGCAGAGCCTAGGATGTTTTGCTCGCTTTTTCGCGAGATGCTTGCAGCTTTATCATCGCGACTCATCGAAAACCTATAAACTATAAAATAACAATCGCGGGCATTCAGATTAAACGCGCGCGCCGAATGTCGAACAAAAGTCGAAGCAGGTGAAAACCAACGCCAGCAAGCAGCCAACAACAAAACACAACAAGAAGAAAACCAAGAAGAAGCAGCAGAAAAAAAAAGGGTACCACCGTGGACCCCCATTGTATGGCTTTTTATATCATCGCTCCTCATAGAGACCAGCGCGCACATTCATTTCGTGATGAGAACCAACCATAAAATAACTTTTAAAGAACCAGTTTAAAAGCATCACACATCCTCCGCTAGTTCACTAACTGCATTACATTTGTAAGCTCAACTTTACATTCACAAGCCGGCGGGATGCGTCGTCCCGTGTTTGCCTGTTTAAACAGTGTGTCCATCATCAATCGAATCATTTCGACCTATTGAAAATTTAGACTTCCACAGTTACCAACCCATGGAGAAACAGACAGCCAGACATAGCTCCAGTCAGACATTCCGCTCTTGTTGAAGCTTTGTTTTCCTGCGCGATGTCTGCATACTGGCGCGTTCCATACTCCACCAAGCATGGCAATAGGCCTTGAAAAGCTCACTTTTAAGTTCATTCTCGATGGCGAGAAGCGAATGCCGACACACTCGGCAGTGAAGCACGAACTCATAGAGCATGGTGGTACTCATTGTGCGCGCGTAGTGTACTAGTAGGCAAGGTCAAGGAAACTGTTACGCTATGTTCACATCGCGCGCGCGTCTTCTTCGTCATCGTCTAGCGTCATCATCACATGGTGGCCAGAACCAGGGGGCCAGGCATCCAGGCGTGCGAATCAAATTTACATCGTTTGCAAACACTACAATGCGTTTCGTTTCAAGCCGGCAGCGAAAGTGATAATCATACCAAACTCACATACGCGCCTAAACACTTGGTATTCACGAAATAAACAATGAAAACATTGACTTTTACGCACCGCAGCTCCATCCTCGTAGTAAACCGAGTGATTAATTCACTTCCACACACAAAAACTAAAAACAAAAAACTTAAAATTTACTTAATCTATTAATGAATTCATCAAGTATAACGCGTTAATTTGCTAAATACTCGCATGGCCTTGCCTTCAGTCAGTCATTCGTTTGAATGTCGCCCGCTGGCGCGCTAATAAATTGAGCAAGCGTGCGCGCAAAGAGCCTCGAGCACTGGGGCTTCGGATGCGAATATTAATTAGGCGATGAAGAAACGCCAGGCGAAAAAACGAAGGCAAGCGATAACCAAATTGCCTGCTCATCAGATAGATGCCCTCAAAACGAAACGAAATCGAAACTGATGCAGATCGAATTGAGCAATCCGCACCATAAAAAGCGATATTAAGAAGAAGCGAAAGGAGTCAGAGAGAAAAAAAAGACACTAGTGTTAATTTCGAGAGCGATAACTTTTAAACTTTATCGCTTTAATGGAAATTACTAAATAATCAAATAAATAACGTTCAGAAATAACTTCATAACGACTTGCGTGCGCAGTTGAGCGACCCTCATTCATAAAAATTCATCAGGTACCCCAACTTTATTTATATACACCTTTTATACACATCTCTCTCAAGTATGTATTAATTTCCCTGACCACTAATCTCGCCTCCTGCCAGCAGCGTGTTCTTCACTATCGTGCGTGCAGCTTAAAACTTTTCTTTGACTACACACACACACACACACATCGCGTCCCCCATTGAATATCCGCATACTGAGTCACTCGCCTAGACCAAAACACCAACAACTTACCAACGTGCATGTTGGTAGGCTTGTTTTGTTATTGCTTTGATCCAGTCGAGTGTGTGTATATGTGTGTGTGAGTGTAGCGCCAGGACGAGGGCTTAATTTCGTCGGTTGACAACGCCTTTTTGGCAGTTACAAACGCTGAAAAGCCGAAACGTTGAAAAGGGAATCCCCCTTTTCTTCATCGCGAGCCGTGAGCGTGAGCGCAGCGCGCTAAGCTCGTAAAACACGAGATTACATTACGAGAACAATGCACTTTCCGAATGCGAACGACCAAACTACAAGAACGTAAAGCGAAGAAGAAGAAAAAAAGGACCAAGGTGGGCTATAGATAAAAACGGTTGGCACGGGAATAACAAATCCTCCGACGAAGACATCCACACAGAGCACGTGCCACATCTTAATCTTGAATTACGAATTAATCATCAATCAATAAAAATGAAATTTTCGCCAAAAAAAAAAAGAGAAGAAAGTTTCTAGTGATACAATGTCGCATAGATGATTATTGTTATTCCTCATTTACGTGTGTTTTCGTAGCCCCAGAGGCCCCGAGGAGAAGGTGCACACCACCGCGAATTGTAAGTGTAAGGAGCGCATATAGCCTTGAACTCACGCTAGTAGTGCAAGCCGAGTTTTTTGCTCCTTTCCACGCGCGCGCGCGTACAAACCGAACCAACAAACACACACACACACACAGAGAGCATCGATGCACGTTTTGCATTTATAATTTTGCGCGCATTTTTGCCGACTATGATGATGTTGTTGATGATGATGCACCGAAACTATTATCGAAATGATTGCGCCTCACATTTCTCTCCAACCGACTCGCGCGCGCGCGCTCAAAACCGGTGCCATCCTATAAATAACCCTACAACAAGTAAAACATTTTTTCCTCTTCACAAACTCCACTACGACGACTTCAAACTAAAACAATAGCAGCGTGTACCTACAACCGATTGGCAATGAAATAAACGCAACAAAAGCGTGATAAATATGTCGTAACGTTCGTAGTAATGCACGCATATAATGGCCGCATAATAATAATCATCATAAAGGCAAATAATTCACGGACAGTAAACTCTACAATAATTACTTCGCAATAATTACGAGCGCGCTGTGTGTATTGTTATTGTCGTAGAATTCGTAGACAAGCGCAAATTAACTTTTTAAATTATCTTTTTGCGCTTCCGAACTCCGCAGCGGACATTCAACCATTTGTTTTTATGCGAAAAATAAAAATAACAACATCTTTAATAATAATAAATAATTTACAAATTTCGCAAAGTTATGCCATTGTTGCGCACATCCTGCGGATGATTGATATCAAATGTCCTTTACATGCACTTAGTTCGCACATTACACACCATTCGCCGGTGCAATTCACGCAAAACTCACACACAACCACACACCGCATACGAGATCAAATAACGAACGCAAATATCAAATGTACCCGCGTCTCGTCCTGTGCCGTCTCTATTATGTTACACGCACAACCAGCCAGCTAGGATAATAAGTGTCGGTGAGAAAAAAAACCTGGAAATTGTTTTTCCTATGTCATTCACTCCAACGATTTCGTTAAATGAAAAATTCTAATTTCGAATAATTAATTATTATTACTAAGGGCGCCTGGAACGATACAAAATGCATTTGCATTACGCGTTCGTAATTGCAATCAATAATGAGTTATTATAAGCAACCTTGCCGATGATGGACATATTGCAATTGTTTTAATGCAAGCCAATAACAAACAAAACAAGTGTGATCACGTCGTATTTTCGATGTGATTCGACTGCACTTGATTAAAATACAAAAACGTTTTCTTATCACTCACCTTGTCTGCCGACGATCTCAGCCACATGCTCAGAGCTGGGCACCGGCACGCATTCGGTCATGTTCTGCGACTTCTTGGAGCGGACCTCGTCGAGGCCGAGGTTGGTGAGCGGATTGACGAAGTTCCCCAGCGGGTCGGTGGGACTCTCCGGTTCGGTGACGTTCGCGAGCGGGTCGTTTAAGCCCATCATCGTCAGCTCGAGGGCGAGCTGGAGCGCGCGGTCGTCGCCGATGACCATGTCGGTGAACGTGCTGCCAGGCATGCTGCGATGAACTGCAACGTGCTTCTTTTTCAACGCGTCGGTGCGACGTTCAGCTGTTTGTGGAATCGGCGCGGCGCGGCACACTGCGATGGCTAGGTTAGAGTTAGAAAAATTGTTTGATTTTACGTTTTTGTCAATTGTCACACACGCGCACGAGGTGCCCGGAATACTCGAAGGAGATGCACACAACAACTGTCCGCGATACGTGATTATCCTGCCTGCTTCTCGACACTCCGGTGCGCACACGGCTGCTTTTTCATTCAATGATTGCGTATTCTCCAATGCGGTGGTTTTTTTTTTCACGCTCGGATGTTTGATGTACTTTTATGCGTATTATAATGTGGTTTATAAATACATAAAAACGACGTTTAAGTATTAAAAACGGTTCACTGGTACAAAAATATATTATAAATATTTGCTTCTTCTTCTAATCGTAAGTATTTTAATATATCTTATAAGGGTTACTAAGTGTTTATTGTGTAGTGGTTGCAAAGCAGATGCGCTCAGCCTGCCCGCCTGTATCTGACTGAATTTCGGCGTGCGTGAACGCCGCCGGTATGCCATGTGCACGGCGATACGGCGCGCCGGGCCGGCGCGCGCATGCGCGTCCAGTGCGGAAAGCCGGCCCGGGAAGTTTGAATCGGCGCGCGCGGGTTGGCACGCCTGACGGGTGGGGATCCAGCGCGCGCGCGGCCTGCGGCTGCGGCGTTCGCGCCTTGTTTCCCCTACCGTTTCCGGCGCGGCCGTCGACCGGCCTGACGCCGTGCTGCGCGGCGCGAATTTTGGGGGGCACTGTGGCGGTGAACTCGGCGCGAACTCGCCGAACACGTGCTCTAGGTAATCGCCGGCGGTGCGCCAGTTAGGATTACTTCCGATTCGTTAATAAGGAAAACACCAACAAACAGCCACTAAACATTTAAAACTAAACAAAAATTAAACGAAATTATTATTTACAATCAACTATTAATAAACTCTCCCCAATATTACCTACTCATAACGTTGTAACAATCTATTGCGACATTTTCACATAATTCACACAATTTCACAAAGGTTCACACGCATAACAAGGTTCCGTTTGTGGAGGCCATGCCAGAGGTCCCCTCAAGGCGCGTCTGATCAAACAAAAGCCACGATTTTATCAATTAAAACAAAATTTTCGTCACTATTGACTCATTTGTGTGCGTGTTGATTACCATCATAACCTCTAAATATTAATTTATAAGCGTATTTGTTTTAAAAGCGTATTTTTATAGTTTTTAACTAAAAATTGAGCGATAACCTAAACTTATTCATAGATTTAAACGTGTTTTACACGTTTTGTGCATCAGAGAGTGTTGATAAATGTTTAACTTGTCACTTTCTACGCAATAAATAATTGTAATCACAGGAATAAACAAGAAGCCACAATTTCACATCGTATAGACTGTTTTCGTTGTGTGGCGTTATCACTTCGGTGCGATTATCATTGCTTTCTGCGTTTTAGGTAACCCACAATTCGGTTCAGTTGAGATATGAATTCCAGCTCATATCATAATCAAATACTGCGCTACGAGGACGATTTGTGGTGATTACTATCACCATGGAATTGCTTCATTTTTGTCGTTTTGTCAGCCAGAATTTGTGTAATCATTAATATAGTTTTCAATCAAAATATACGAGTCAAATTCATCAAAAGAAGTTAAATTATTGTTTTTGCAATGATGACTATTGTGTGAATGTTCATGTTATTTGTCAGGATGTAACGAAATCTTTAATATTGCTGACTCAAACACATGTGACGCATAATAAGTATTTGTTGGATCAAATAAGCATTTTTTTTAATGCCTAGGCAGTATGCTCAATCGTTGGCGCACATTGCACCTTGAATTATATCAATTTCGAGATTAAACGGTTGTGTTAACATCTGCTCTTGACTAACAAATAAACAAATTCCGGTTGGTTGTACTCGTATTTGTTACAACTTCTCCAATATCCTGATTAGTTGTAATATTAATTACAAAATTTGTCATCAGCGAAAGTAACTCACAGAAACAAAGTCCATAAACATTTTGTTTCATATTAATATTGTATTTTTTATAAAAAAAATCTTGAAATTTGTCTATGAATGATGAAGTTCAAAGGTTTGTGTTTAGTTGGTTGCCTAATTACTTCGCATTTGCGCCTCGGCGTTTAATTAGAATTAGAAACATCTTTGATTATACGACTCGAATGCGTGAGTGTTCAAGTGAGTTGCACCATGAATAGTCTTCGCGTTGGTCGACCTTTGGGCACGCTTGGTGAGCACCAAAGTCAAAAACTTCAAAAATTATTTATACTTAAAACTACTACATAAAACAAATGCGTCTGACGTGCCTAGTGCGTAGATTCAATTAACAATTATTTTATTATACGATTTTTATGCAATAACTTAAAAAGTTTCAACAATACTAGGTATAATAATTAATAAAAATAAAGTGCATGAGCACATGATGTCATTAAAATTCTGTTTTTGGAAAAGTAATTACGTAAATTCCGAGTTTTCCGGAATTTTTCCTATTTTTACTTAACTACATTCCAACATTTGAACAATTCATTCATAACAGCTGTGCAATTTTTGTTTGCTATCACATGAGCTCGTGTAGCGCAAAAGAATCAACGCAAAACCTCATTCCTTGGCGGTGAATAATTTTAAGTTCGTTAACAGTTCGCACAATGTAGTTGTAAATGAACGTTTTGTTTGCACTACCTAGTCGAACACCATACTATACTACACCCAACAATCTATTACATACATAATTTTGTAGTTTATGATAGTTTTTAACTATTACCTCAAGTTGGCAGTGTTTACGTTCAGCGATCCACGAGTATTGTTTGCACAAGAAACCACGTGCACCTCTAATCTGTTCTCGCGCGAACGGATGCTTTTCGCTTTTCGCCAGCTGAGGACTTGTGGGTCGCAAACACGGAAATCGTGTGTAAACATTGCAAACTTTCAGATAAACTACTTACGCAACGCGGTGGATCATTTTTCTCAAATATTTCCTTATCGAGTAAAAAATGTTGATTCTATTAAACTTATCAATGATTTTTTTTAAATATTATATTCGTCAACGTACAACTGGAATGTAGTTATTGCGTTGTAGTCATTTTACACGTTTTGCTGCGAATGAGTGCGACAACTTGTTAGTTGGGATTTTTACACGTTGAAGGTGTGTAAACACAAAACACTTCTAACTATATTTATAACCATCGCAATTGCGATTTTGTTCAATATGGTAAAGACAAAGTCCATGATTGAAATGGAAAAATATTGTTTAAAGTAGATTTTGAGCTATTAAATTGTGTTATTTTGTGTTTTGGGTTGTCTACATTAAAATTACACCGTTAAACTGCCTAAAAACATGATTTTTGTTTTCGTGATTTCACATCTTGTGTCTGCTCGTTTCCGCAGCTTTCCACTCGCTTCCTATTCATTTCTTCCCGCGCCGATCCGCTTTGAACGTTTTCATTATGACGATTACAACAACGCGCGCCTCTGTGCGCAGCGCCTCAGTGTTATGTTAAATAGCTAGGCCAGGTGCGGGCCCGCAACGGAATAGCGTCAATTCTCATATTCTCGGAGTAATGCAAAACGTCTTTTGTCCCCCTGGTTGCTGGCGGCCCGTAGGGAGACCCCGAACGGGCCGAAGACTTGCGAGAGGTATCACCTCATTCAAACCGCGTTGAATACCTGTGTGACACCCGAGGCTCCAAAGCAAACTGAAGGTTCCAGGTAAGGTAAAGTACGCAGCGAAAAATGTAAAGAGCGTGCATGTTCGATCAGTAAGCACATTTTGTTGGCGTAGAGTGAAGATGGTAACATGACATGAAACGAGGAGTAAAATTAAGAAATTTTATCAAAAGTATTCAATTTATAAACAGAATATGTGAATTGTATAAGAAAATATAATAAAGAAAACATTTTTACTTTAATAATTAAAATAAAACGTTATAGGAACTTGGAAACAAAAAAATATAATTTTTTTCTGCCTCAAAATTCACTTATTTCTAGAAATTTCTCCACATTTGACAATCACACCAATAGTTGAACACCTGGTCCCCAAACAACACTAGAGCAAGATCTAGGTAGAATCAGAAACCCTCCATAAGTAACACATAAATAGCCCAGTTAACTAAACACAGGAAAATAGTTAAAGATTTGCGAGCAGAGCAAAAGATTGAAAGCGATTTCGATGAATCGGATGAGTCCGGTTCTCCGGTGCAATGAATCGAATCGCCATTTATGCTGCCAACATCAAAGGCCCAGCACCCAGCACACAGAATGAAAACGAAGAAAAGGACGACCCGAATTTTCGCTTGTAATTGAAATTGCTGTGTACTCTGTGTGCTCTGCTGGCTGAATTTAATTCCGCCCGATTATGGAATGTGTTTTTTCGGCCACTGAGGACCAAACAAAGCGGCTGCAGACGTTTTGGTAGATTCTTCTTTAATTTCGTTAATCGATTGCTTTGTCCACGTATCTTTTTTGTGTGTATAAAGAAAAAAAATTGCGAGTACGAAATTTTAAAATCTGGTGAATGTGAAGCTGCCAAACCGGCAGGATATGAAAAGGGGATTAAATTACGCGGTGTGTGGTGTTAATCATGTGTGAAAAGTGTGAGAAATTTTTGATACAAAACATACATTTTCAGCATTACGTAAAAATAATTAAATTTAAATTAAAGTTGAAAATTTGACATTTACATGGAAATTTAAATCAAGTTAACAGTTTTTTTCAGTTTACAGCTATCAGCATAGCAAATGAGCATTTTTAGCAAAAACATTTGTAAAAATTTACGTATTTAAAAACTTTTTGGAAGGAAAGTGTAGATTTAAAGGACAGTTTAAATTTTACAACTTATAGAGAAGCTTCAAATGCGTATTACCGTGACAAATCGTCAATATATCACTAAGCAAATGCATCGTCATTCAGACCCAACTTGTTTCTATGCAAAATATTCACAACCTCAAAACTTCTTTTCCCTTTAAGTCTTTCATGCGTCCTTGGTTTACTATAGGTAAGTATTTAATATTTAAAATTTTATTTTGGCAGGTAAAGGGCTAAAAGTACCACTTTTACCTGCAAAACTATAAATTTCTCTTTTGTGAATATTTACAACTCTTCAACGAATGTTAGCGGTCTTGTTATATTAGCAATAAAACAAATTAGATTTTTGAATAAAAAGTGAAGTACAATGAAATTATTTTGCATACTCTGCGCTAGAACATTAAATTATTACAAAAGTAAATAAATATATTTAAGTTATTGTTAAGATAACCCAGAACTTAAATAAAACATCATGGACCAAATAAAAATGATAGAAATTTAATTTAATGCCTACTTAATACTAATTAATAATCAATTACATTTTAAAATGTCAATAATTGGTGTATTTCACGACTTCCAGCATTCTACTCGTAGCGACCTCGTGCCAGTCGTTTTTATCCAACACGAGGTAATAACGTAATGTGCGACGTACGACGCGACATTATAATAACCATATTCAACAACAAAAAACCCATTTCCTGTGTTTATATTGAATATTGCCCAAGAATCTATGCGAAAACAAATACGCGGGTACATTTGACGCGTTCGCTCATTTCTACCGCACATTTGCAAATATTTGCGCAATCGTTGCAATAAATTTGCACACAAGCTAACATTGAAAAACGATCAAGTTTATTACAATAGCAATGCAAATCTAGAACAAAAATCACGTGGTTCGCACGAATGTTGAATGTCAATCTTGACCTAACAAGATACAGTTATTTATTATTCAGTATATTAAAAAATGCACACGGCGAAAGTATTTGTAATCAAGAAATTAATTTTAAATGAATTTTGGTAACTTAACCAGAACGAATTATTATTGAGTAATTCTTTTAGTTTATCTGCTTACCGTTCTTCCTGGCGCTCTGAAGACGGCGCCTTCCGTATTTACGGTTGATGTTGTAATATTCGCGACGCCAGGATGATTAACGGTATTAGATTGATGTGTAACAAGTTACAGACGGCGCACAATTTACTTAAGACATGATTAATTGTAACATGTAAGTAAAAATTTAATGAAATGAAATACCTATCAATATATGCAACGTGTGTTGTGGTTCCTCGCGAATTAATGTGGCATTGGTGCATGCAGCGCCATCTACACATATATTATACAACTAAATTTGAATTTCTGTTATGTATTTCAAAAAATAAATTAAAAAGAAAATTAATTTTGTAATATGCGCCATTCCAATCAAAAATATAATTATAAATAATTATGAGAATCAATCTCAATGCTTTGTTTTCTGATTTGTCCTTAATATTCAGCTCGGTTTAAACATTAATGTAGGCAACACACTTAATTAATGTTTTCGGTGCAAAAAAATTAGTCAAAATTACGCTAAAAACTCCAAATTAATGTTTAAAAACCCTTAAATTTGATTCTAATTTATTTCAACTTAAATGCTTACATTTAATTAGGTGTAAGCAATGAAAAACAAGCCGTAGAGAAACTTTTTTGCACTAAATCCTGCTCTACCATAAAGGTAATAGTAAAATTCTTCAATAAATGAAAAAAGTATATTTACAAAGGTCTTGAATTACATTCATATTCATTTATAATAATATAAACAATTTAATTATCGCTTAACATTTGGTATAATAGATATTTTCATTTTTATTTTCTTCATAATATACTCAAGTTTATATTTGTTTGCTTTTTAAATTTAGATTTCATTCAAAATTTGCCCGGGTGCACGCGCGAGCGCGCCCTTCATCATAGTCATCGCACAACAATAAAGTCTAAAGTTAAACATTCAATAAGTTTGTTTATATCGATTTTTAGTTGATTCACTTTCATATGATGTATTCATAATTCGCGTGTGTGCTTCCGCGCTTATTACAAGTGATAATACGATAAAAACGAAATAAACACGTCATGTCCGCTCCACGTCGCGCCAGTCAGTCAAAATATTAAAGTTCACAGTAATATTATATCCGTAATGTAATAATGTGTTTTATAATAGTTGTTAATATTCAAACGTTAACATTAACGCAACAATAAATATATATCTCGTGCAAGCGTCGAATGTGTGTTGAAAATTATACAAACAAAAAATGCAAATTAAAAACGATTTGTTGTTAATGTAACATTGTCAGTTCAATTAGTAATTCGATTATTCGTAGCGGGTTAGTTAGCAGGTAAAATAATGTGTATCGTGTAAAAACTTAAGTATCATTCTCTAAAGTAAACATAATCGGCATCTAACACGCTCAAACGAATTTTGCTCCGACTTAAAAACTATAAATTACAATTTACAATCATCTCGCCACCTCCTCCTCGCATCGTCGTCGTCGTCTTGAACCGTGTGAGCAAATAACAGTTAAACAAATTAGAGTTAATATATGTAATATAATAAATAACGCTTACTTAATAATTCCTTCTCGTCAAACTTAAATGCTACGTGTTTTTTTCTTTAAATTTAATGATACACTTTTAAACATATTGATTGATTTCTGCGGCGCAAGCTTGTCTGAGTGGAAAAATTGATAGCATGAACACGTTTTCCAACCGAAACAAGTCGCATTGTTTTGTGATGATGGAGAAGAAGAATGCATATTGCTAATGAAGAGAGGGAAAATGATCGTTTATACATTATTGGGTTTTCTTGAGTATTATAACAGTATGTTTTCAATCCTCACACATCGTTTACAGTGACTTCCAGTTACAAAAAAGAAAGACTCCCGATCATGTTTAATAAATACCTATGTAATAGAAACGTCCATTCCGTAGCGATTGCTTGTCGGTGCTTTGCCTGTGTCTTAACAATATATTGATTAACAACGTTTAATTCATTTAAGTTTAGTTATGTCTCGTACTTTTTCAATAATATTGCGAGAATATTCATAGTTCAATAGTCATAAGATTTTTTGTGTTAGTTTTTTTCATTCAATACCCTGCTTACGAAACACAAGCATAAGAAGGGAAAATCACATTTAATAACAATAACAACAAAGTACCGCGTTCTCCATTCAAATCAGTCCGCATTTCGCAAAACTTTGACACGTTTCTTGCAATTAAACCATACGCGAACGGACCTCAAACATTCCGCGCGCGTATTCCTGGCTGAATTTATAAATATATATCCATTTATATAATATATAAGTGCTATTTAAATATATGTATCACTTTACAGTAGAAAGTCATGAAAAAATAAATTTTTACAAGAAATACAAAGGTTATGGTTGTTGTATTTGTTAGGAAAAACGTAAATGTTTGTTTCCAGTGTGCAAATAAAATATCACACATAGATTAGTTGTCGCCACCCAAAAGTGTTTCACTTGTGAAATAACAACGTTGAGTGTTTATACATAAAAATAGACAATACTATATAAACACATCTTGTTCAGTAGTCTTACACTTAGTTCATATCTAGTTTTACTGTTTCTCATTTAAATATGTACAACACTACAATCCTCAAATAGTACTTGTTCGTTCGTTCGCTGGTCTTTTATTCAAATTTGAAAATAGTTTACCTTCGAGTGCGATTCGCATGCGTCGTGGGATTCACACCATTATTGGGGCGTCCTCAGTGCAATCGTCAACAATCTTTGCCTGATCAATCATGTACCCGAGGTGTTTCGGCGGAATGGATTGCCCGGCGGAGAGGGTGCGTATTACGGGGCCCTTCAGTCTTTTCTGCTCACTAGCGCCTACGGAACTACCGCTAAAGATGTCGTCGAAGCTACCGTCCGTCGACAGCATGTCATCATCAGAGGTAGCATGCGCCAACATCGGCAGCGTCGACGTGAGATGTTCCTTCTCTTTCAGAATGTCATGAATGTGGTTCTGCAAGAGGTTCTCCTCCTCGTCGACAAGATTCCCGGCTTGGCCAAGTGATGACTGCGTCGGCAACAATTCATCCGGACTGAAAACCTTCGAACTTCGCAGAGATGACAGACGATTTGTCGCTGCTTGACAAGCGGTGTCCAACGTGTCGATATCATCCAAAGTGCTACGAATTTTTCGAATCTTCTCCGAGATTATCGTCTCTATGCACTGCGTCTGGCTGCTGATGTCATGGAGATGGTCCTGTGCAGGTACAATCTTGTTTGTCCGTAGAATACAAGGAGCGAAAACAATCGCCAAGGAAGCAGCGCTCATTCGGTTTACCTCCTCGTGGAGCGCTACACGTGCAAGATGGAAGATCAAACGCTCCATGAGGTCGTAGTTGGCGGTTGGGAGCTTCTTCAACATATCATACAACGTCGACACTCTTTCCTGCGCATCGGTCATACCCGCAACGCGTATGAAGTTCTCGTAGCACTCAAAAGTCAAAAGTGGTTCGGGCATTTCACGCAGGAAGCATTTCAATACCGAGCCTAGTACATGAACTTGATATTGTGCAAAGTTAACCTCTTCTTTCTCCTCTTCCATTTTCTGCTTCAACTCTTTGACCTTGGAACTAACGCCGGGTTTTCGATACAAACCTTCAGTGTACAGGAAGAACTTCTCTATCGTCGCCAACAATCGCTCAATCACAACGGGTATTTTATCATCGTCGCCGAGCAAAGACTCGAGAGGAACAGCGAACAGTTTATTGGAATCGGCATCAATCGATGCGTTATCTTTCACGCAACGCTGACACCGCAGGTAGCATTTTCTATGACAAGTTAGCTTACACGATTGGCACACTAGCCCGCGTTCAATGGGCCACATCAGTCTCTGCGAGCAGATCTCACACACGGTTTGAATCTGCAAGATTGTCAACTGGAAGGTATGTCCGTGGAAAAGCGTGCGCTCCTCCTGTTTTCGCTTCTTCTCTTTCTTTTTCTTACTCTTGCTGGGTTTCTCTTGATCCGCACGTGAGTTCATAAACTCATTCATGAAACCCCTGAAAGCATTCACTCCCATTGTGACTGGAAAATCTTTGTCCGTCTGCTCGCGCTGACAGACTGTATCCATCGCTTGCATGAAATTCGCAATAAGATCCTTGTATTTCACACTGTACGCATCAAAGCTGGCTCCGTTCTTATTCGCCGTGCTGTAGAGTTGCACCAGATTATCTTTAAACTCTCTCAGTGCTTGCTTGAACAGTCTGTCGACTTCGCTGGGTTTTTCACCAGCTTGCTTCTCAATTTTGACGATTTTACTGGAGATAAAGTTCTGCATATCTTCCAGTTCTTTAGCGTCCGAAATAATCTGATCGGTACGGTCGGTGAATTCAGAGGTGCCGGTTTTCTTAAAATTGCTGTTGTGTTTCGCAAAGTCCTGTGGCGCACGCGAAGACTTCCGTTGTTTCCGCCGCGGTTTCTGGTTGTCCGCTATACAAGGAATCTTATTAACCAACTGATTCTGAATGCATTTAACGTGAAAAGTCTTCTTGCACACGAGACATTTGTGGCCCGGATCCGGATACAGATTCTTATTGCACGAGAAACAGTTGTCGTCCGTCGGCTTCGACTTGGACGTGTGTGACAACCGGAAGGAATGATCGCCCACATTGATAGTCTTCGATTCAACCCAGGGCGTACCGTTGGGGTTTTCGATTATCGTCGTTTTGGTTGCCGGGTCGGAATTTCGTCGCCGTATCTGTGGAAATTGTTCACCGGGGCGCGTGCGCTTCGGTGATGCGGTGTGCGGGTAGCTAAAGTCCGTCTCGGACTTGGTGAGCTTGTTGCTGGCATGTAGAATCTTACTATGTTGTTGGCACTCGACAATGGTGCCCAGATTTGGATTCCGATCGACACTTGCTGGATCGCAGATGTCGTCGCCTAAACTTCGCACGATTTGCGACCGCCGTTGAGTGCGGGCGTTGCGTGAGGGTGGTTTTGGTATGTGCGTGGTCTCGACCAGTATTTGCTTCGCCTTATCCGGTGCCAATTCCAATTCTAAATCCGCGTATCTATCCAAAATCTCGGTAGCCTTTTCTATTCGCACCAAATCATCCCTGCTTCGGCGGATGGGTGGAAAACTGACCAGTTTCGAATCGGTGCGCGGTTCTCGTTTGACATTGACAATGACACCAATATGTTTGATGGGTCGTTCGGGCATGTGCTTCAAATAATTATATTCTAAATAGGGTGGCGTTGTAGGCGGGTCTGAATCAGTTTCGCTTTTCGTACGTGTCATCATGTACGACAAGTCACGCACATTCATGTCTTGATAGGGCGATGTACGCGTATGATGCGCGGTATTTAATGAATTCCCGCTGCCCCTTCGCGGAGCCAATGAAAAAGCTTCGCTAATATCAACGCTTTTCACCAATTTCCGTTTCGCGGGCTGTTCTAAAACAGTACCTTCCTGTTTGATATCTTCAAGTCTGTAAAACAAGAAATTCATATTCATACATAATCATGATTGGGGGTTGTTTTAACGAAAAAATGGCAGACTGCTAAACTGCAGTGCCTGTATATGGAGGTGTCTTAAATATTCAATCTATCCGTTAACCCCCCAAATTTGGAAATGGCGGACGTTCGAGAAGTCTTGGATGCCTTCCGTGCGAGCACAGCACCGAACTGCGGCATCGGTAGAGTCCAATGGCTCCTAGATCGACCACGTGACGCCACCCACTGAGCAGATCTGCCAAACTAAAGCGATCAATGTTCAGCTGTGCCATCACAGACACACACCTCCAACCGGTTAAGCATTTCGATTTGCTTATATACTCATGTGCTTTATCAGAACTTGGCAGAGAAGTATTATTCAAATAACTTAAAACTCCGGCATAAACTAAAATAACCAAATGGTTCTTTTCGAGAACGATTCCATATCCCCCGCGGTATATTAAAATATGTGCTAAAATCTTAAATCTTGATCCGTCAAGCAACAAATATTATAATTATTAAATCTGCTTTGGTGGCGCCATCTGTCGAGCATCCATGACACTAACGAATAATACGGTTTATAATGGTGGAATAATGGTTTACTGACCTATTGTGATTATAAATATTGAAAGGTGCAGGTTGTCTGGTGGTCGTCACGCTCGGCAATGACTGAGTGGAGCGTAATGCCGCCTTCTGCGTGAAATTGTGATCGTCCTCTTCGTCATCTTCATCCGAAACGAATTCCATCGAATGAATTCGACTCTTTCTGCAAAATGTTATCACAATAAACTCGCCGGAAAACAAAACAAATTCGTTCCAAATCGTATCAAAACATACTTATTTTTGGCGTGAGGCTGATCATTTAATATATCTAATTTCGACTTGTACCCACTGCCAGCAAGAAAAGTATGTAATGAACCAATTTTTATAGATATAAAATTATGAAAAGAAAAAGAACTACGTACTCATTTGAATCACCATATGCCAATTTGATGTTTGATATATTATTACTCTGAAAGAAGAGTAAAATGAATAATCGTGAAATACGATATAAATCCACAAAAATTACATGTTTCCGATGCAATAACGCCTGTTCCTTCCTATCCTCGAAGGCCTTCCGCGCAAAGTAGCCTCTGCATTGCGCCTGTATCCTCACGATGCATTTCATTTCGCGCTGATACCACGATCTCACAGCGTACGCCCGCCATTGCTTTTGAATTTTAATGGCCGCCGCGACAGCATTTCGAAAATTGCGCTGACTCAAAAACATGCGACAGTACGACTGAATCGTAATCGCTGCATGCTGCATCCGCAAGAATCGCCGGCGTTCCAGGCATGCCCGAAACCACCGCTGCAGCCGCACGATGCTAGCCATAATCTGCTGATGCAGTCGACTGTCGAGTTTACCCTTGACGGAATCGCGCAGAAACACTTTACTGCTTCCCAGCTGGTAGTTTTCCTATCTAAATTCAACGTGGCGAGAAAATCATGCACGTCATTCTGCGAACTCAACAACCCCTTCGGCAGTAGGATCCGATATAGTTGAATAAACTCGTCGTAGGTTAATCGAACATTGAATCCAGCCTGGCGAATGCGGACAGTTTCCAACATACCGGTGTACCGCAACTGCCTCTGCACGGTTTCCTCGTCGAAATCATTTGCGACCTTCCGACTATTTGATTTGATGCAGCGAATAAAGAAAGGATTCGCTTGATTGAGAGTATCCATGAGTGAATGCAGCGATTGCTGGAACTGAGCGGTGACAGTCATCGGTTGTTTGCGCGCTTTGCCCAGCTGGCCCTGATTGGCAGCGGTGATGCCTGTTTTACCGGCAAGCGTCTTCACCGACTGCAGGTTTTTCAGCCCCTTGCGGCCACGCTCTCGCGGTCGAAACGATTTGTTTTTCCTGCGAAAATAAATCACTTTAGATCAACGATTCAAAGAATTTTGCATCACAAAGTAAAATCCCAGTTAAAACCACGCTGGAAAATGTTACATGCATGGTTTACATGCCTTTACAGAGAGAGAGATTTATTAGCACACAAAGTCAATCCAGCAAGAAAAACAACAACCATTCACCAAGAAAACCAGTTAACGATGATTCTATGTATAAATGTGATTACAAAGCAGTAAAGAGGTGATGAACCGCCACCGTTTCCAAGAAGGCTTTTATGTCCTTGAAGCATCACCTAAATATCATAAGACATTGTACACAGAGCTTCTGATGCGAATTGTTAACGAATGGGCGGTCAAAATTAATTCACAAAAAAATTGAATGTGTGTGCGCAGGAAAAACAACTGCGAATTATTATGACTGCACATTTTCTAAACACGCGCAAAGAAAATAATCTATAAAATGATATATTGATGTAATAATTCGGGCAGGCGTAATCAAAATATTCCCAAAACCGTTTGATCTCCTACTGGAAACTTGACGTCATCAAACACAAAATTCCTGGTGAGAAAGGTAAATGTGCAATGTCATAAAATTATCAGCTATTCTCCGCTGCGCGCTCCACAAGCGAAGCTATATTTTACCCGTGTAATAGATTCAAGAAAACAGATCAAAGTGCGTCAAATATCCGCCACCCACGACCAGCACCCAGTGTCTACCAGCTACAACCACCGCCGCCGCCGCCGCCGGCAGCCCGACGCGCGTTAAAGAAACGTTGAGTACATACATAACGATCTGATTGGCTCGCTGCATGACGCGCGCCTGATCGGGACACATCACGCGCTCGAAGGCGGCCGCGTGCGGCCCTCCGCCACCACCGCCACCGCCACCGCCTACGGCAGCGTCCTTTCGCGTGCGCCCCTCATCGTTGCCGCCGGCTTTGCTCGCCGTGCTCGCCTTGCCGCGATTGTAAAACTGCGGCCACGAGAGCCGGTTGTGATTGTTCGGTGCGTCCGCATCGCTGCCGCTGTTGCGACTCAAACGATTCAACGCTATCGTGTTGCGCTGCTTGCTGTATGGGACAAACGTAAAACAATTATAACAAACGAAACGAAACAGAACACACATCAGCGATAATTGACGCTATAACAAAACAAATACGATGGAAAATAGAGCACATTAACAGACATAACCAATAAAATAATATTGCTTGTAAAATGCATGCGACAAACGCATTCACAAACGGGCCAAATGCAAATGAATAAATAAATAATTATTGCGATAGATCTCGCAAAGGCTATTTATATCATTATTTTCGACATGCAGCGATAAATGTCCGCCAACATAAATAGACAGATGAGATGTGTGAGGAGTCTAACGAAACTCGTCCAAACCGACTTGCGGGCCAACTTCAAACTTACGCGATTCGATTTATAGTGAGGTTCACAGCGGAAACTGTCACAAGATGGCTAGAGAATATCAAAGAAAATCGTCAGCCATCTTATAATCGTCTCAAGTTGTTAATAGCGATGGTGCTCATGTTAATATTAAATTAAGTTAATATTCATTCTGATACAACAACAAAGTCCATACATACCTAATGATATTGTCGTTGGGCACATGATTCCTTTGGTATCTCTGCTGGATGTTGTTCTTGTTGCCATCGACGCGCCCTTGTCGATGCCGACGTCCAGCCTCCTGGAAGGCAAAGTACGCGCGAAAGAACGCACGCACGATGGCCCAGCGAAACACGGCGACAGGATCGGCGCCTACCAGCTCGCGCACAAACGCCATCGAGCTGTTTTTGAGCACGCCGACAATGTCCTGGCGCATCATGTCCAGATTCTTCTCGCGCATCTCCGTCACCTGGTACTTGACGGTGCCGGCGTAGTGCACAATAATAAACGCCGCCTCCTTCTTCTGCGGCTTCTGATAGAACTCATTGTCTTTGTGCACGCTATTGAATTTCTGCAGGAGCGTCTCGTTGGTTGCGCCCGGAAAACTAAAAATAGGCAACCAGATTAGATGCATTGAATATAATGTGGCGCGTGCTATTGTTTCGACTGCGAATGCAGTTTAACAGGTCGACAGCGTGACTGTTGCAGGTTGTAGGCGTGAGTAAATAAATCAATATTGAAGAAATGAGCTAATTACACAAGAATATCAACAGGTATGTCGGAGAAAAGTCTATATGAACACGGAAAGGAAATACAAATTGCATTATCAACCGTATACATATTTGTTTGACATAAATCGAATTTTTTTAAAATAAAATTCGTAGAAATTAATAATATTTCACTAAAATGGCTTAAAAAATATGCTGTTAATATTTTTATTAATTATTTGAATAAATAAAAAGGATTATTCTTTGTAAAAATATTAAGTAATTTTCTGCGAAGTGCATATGGCTATAATGAACAAGTACCGGAAATTGGAATACAAGAAGAGTAATGGATTTGAAAGCACCGACAAAAATTCAGATGAAGTCTAAACGATAAGAACTTTTCTCATAAAACGTACAGGTTCTATTCTAATTCAAATAAACCAGGAGACATATTCCTGCTAAAGAAAAAAAGAAAAACGTTTTATATCATATTGATGAAGATTTCTTGGAACAACTACGAAAGTTTTATATTTTATAGGAAATTTAACTCCTGGATATCTATTTTAATCTATTTCATAAGAAAATGTTCCAAGAACAGTCCTGAGAGATAAAAATCAAAGGATTCATAAAACATAACCTAAAAACTCGAATAAAATCCAAACTAAACATTTTCAAAATAAAAACTCTGACACTTACTTGCATTGATCATCTAGGATGCACAATAAACCATTGACTTTGCCTTCAATGAGCTGCAGGCATCCAGTGTTATCCATAAAATCGATATTCTTCCATTTGATGCCCTCCTTCCTGTACTCCTCCTGCTCATACTTGAACACATGCTGATTAAAATAGTGCTGCAGATGCTCATTGGCGTAGTTTATACAAAGTTGCTCGAAACTATTGCACAGCCCAAAGTCCTCAAACCCGAAAATATCCAGCACACCAATCGAATAGCCCTGATGCTCTCGCAGCGTGTCCTTCTTCGACAGCAGCGCGTGATTCACCTGCAGCACAATCCAATCGAACAGTGCGCCGTAGAGACACTTCGCCATCGCGTCGCGACTCGCAATCGCCTCCGGCAGGCGATAATTGATCACAAGCGTCTCGCCGGAAGCACGCGCGCGTTTCGCCGTCAACGCCTGCATCAATGTCTCCTGTTTCACGCGCAACAGGTCGGAGATGAGTGCAACCACTTCGGGATTTTTGATTCCGACAGCCTCATCATGATGGTACGCTGATTTCCGCGGTTGAAATTCAACATTACCGAGGAGTAAAACAGCGCTGAGTACGGAAAACAGGCGGCGTTGTTTCTCCACTGTGAAACCGACCATTTCCATCGATTGTTTCAACCGGGAGAATTCGTAGCTTTCATCCACGTTCTCCAAAGTGGAACATCCGCTACGATTCAGGTAGTTGTATTCGTGTGCCTTCTTGAGGTACAACTGTGAACGTTCCTGCTCACTGGCGCCTTCCAACAGATGATAGAAAACATGATAATTACGCTCGTTGCGCCCTTGCATACATATCCTTGACTTTTCCAGGAGGTATTTCTGCACGACGGCGCCGTGAACCATACCATTGCCTTTATAATTCACCTGAATAAACTTGCCGAATCTACTTGAATTGTTATTATGTGCTGTTTTGGCGTTGCCGAATGCCTCCAGCACTGGCCCAGCGCTGAGTATCGTCTGCTCCACGCCACTACCATACGACCCTTTCTGACTGAGCGCGGTCAAGTGATGTAGCAAAAAGTTGGTGCTCTCAGTCTTCCCCGAGCCGCTCTCGCCGCTGATAACAATACACTGATTCTTGTTATCTTTCAGCATGCACTGATACGCTGTATCCGCCACCGCGAAAATATGCGGCGGTAAATTCGGCCCCAAGCGGCGATTTTGATACAGTTTCACGTACTTGGGATTGTAGATCGGGTAAAACTTGAACGGGTTGACAGATATTAAAATACTCCCCACATAGGTGTATATATGCCCCGCTTCGAAACGATTCCGCAGGTTCTCCAGCAGCGTGGTTTCGTTCAAGTCGGGCAGTTGGCACAGGTCAGGATACTCCCGATCTTTCGGCTGATAGAGAAAGCGATGAAAGTAGTCTTTCACTAGCTGGGTGTCCATGACGAAGTTGTCCGGCCACATGTAGTCGTTGGCCTTCTCGCGCAAGTAGAACTTGTACTGGCTCTCGGTGGCGAGGTTTTTCGGCCACAATAGCTTCAGCTGGACGGGGCTTTCCTGCGGGCCGAGACTGCGCACCTTGCACTCCTCGCCCACATCGTCGCCGATCACCTCCGCCAATTCGTACGCCGTGGGGCTTTCGGTGAGCGAGAGCCGCTCCACGATGCAGGTGACGATCTCCTCGGCGGACGTCTGCTTGCTCGCCTCCACGGAGAGCGCCTCGTAGAGGTCGGACAGCGACCCCACGTACACCTGCACGATGTGCCTTGTGTTGTCGGACATCTTGTAGGTTGTGTGCAGGTTGCGTGTGTTTGTGGAGATTTTTTTAGATATATCAGTCACTTAATTTAAAAATTGTCTTTACTTGTAGTTTGTCACTGGTTATCACCTTGTGCCTGGACATTTTTTCTTGTTTTAGTGGAAGAAATGCTATGTTGGCATGACTATTTCTGCATGACTACACTTCCACCTGCAAATGAAACAAAAGCAAACGTTAAGAAGCCTGTTTCTATATAAAACACAAACAAAATTCATAAGTGTAGTACACGTGACTGAAACAAGCACTAAGTATTAATATTATTCACTCCAAACACAATTTTTTTCATTTTGTATAAAAATTTGTGTTGCACAAGTTGCATACTTTTGAAAATTGTTATTATCAGACTTACGCAAACAGCTAATAAATATATTATTGTAAACAATCTAGTCAAACGTAGATTTAATTCTAAAACACATAGTACAGTCTGTGGTTGTAAATTTAACGCGTCTATGAGTAATAATTAATTGATAACTGGAATAATATGATTTTTCTCTACTTCAGACAGTGTCTCAGAATTAGTTTTTAATTAACTTCTCGGAATCACAATGATTTACAATACAAATTCCTCTGGAAGATGTATAAATAATTCTTAGTTTAGCTGGTTGCGTTTGGAGTAATTAATAAATAACTTGTTTCTGTCTGTTTCAGACCGCGACACTACACTTATGCATTTGATGTGGGCATGTTCAACAAGTTGCGTGGACGGCTGGGCCAAGCACTGGGCGCACCGGGCGAAACGGCACGTCAAGGGCAAGGGCAGTATCGGTGGTGATACCGGGCAAAGCAACCCTCGCCAGCGAATTGAAACTCAAAGCTTGTCAAATCGTCATTATTTGGGTCACATGTTGCTTCAATGGCCATGTCAAACCGCGACCTGCCGACACTGCCCGCCGTGCTGCGCTCGCATGCTCCACATAAACAACGACCGATCGTACACGGTCCGCCGCCGATGCGCTCGCCGCCAACCACACCACCAGCGAAGATGATGTATACTTTTCAATACATCATCTTCACGGCGTCCGATTGCGACTCTCGGTGTCTTCGTCCACGCACTTATCCTATTCGCACACCGTGTGTATATTCAGTATCCGCCCAATCGAGATGCTCGCTCGCCCGCCTCGCCAGTCCGCACAAGTTGCACACGCGGCGCGCCACCGCCGGACGTACCTGTATCGCGCGCGCGCTAGTTCGCGCCCTCGCCGGATCGACGCACTGATTTTCCGCCGCCCGTTGACACGATATCGGAAGAGCACTTCGGGCACATCTCCATTTTTACATGTCGCTGGGTCTCTCGTTCTCGTTCGTGTCGTGTTTTCGATGCGACTGACTTCGACGGGCGGGGGCGCTGCGGGCGCTTGCTTGGCGCCGGGCGAATCCACGTCGAGTGCGACTGATTGCGGTGGGGCCTGCGCGCGCCAACTATGAATCACTTCCGATCGCAAATCCACAAACAAGTTGCAAAAACTTGCGTTGCAGTCGAAAAATTAGATGAGTAATGTTAGATTGTGAACATTGAATGTTTTAATCGGATCGCATGTGCATAATCATCGAGTAAGTACATATATATTATAATTTCAAGTCCGCAAACAAGTGCGGATTGTTTCATTCGATTTACAAGTCATACATTCGTTGAATTGATAAATCATCAAGCGTTTAATTAAGTTTTTGTTTGTTATTAATAATTAAGGATAAAAGTAGTAAAGTAAATCCGCATAATTATTAAAAACTGAAAAACAATGGAACAATAATTTTATATGTCATGATATAGGCAACCCAACGTACGCCTTTTGTTTTCAAGTTTTATAAAATAGTCGAGTGGTTGATAAATACTGAGATAAACATTTTCTCTCAATTGAATGGGTATTGTGACTAGCCAGACTTGATTCACACTTGATTACAGCATAATTTTGGCATTTATTTATAATCGTGCAAACATATCCGTACAAAAATATTATCTACTTCAATTATCGTAACATTTACATCTTACATCATCGAAATACTTAAATATATAACATTTTGAGCTATTTTAAAGTCTAATATTTGTCTAACATTCTTTTATTTGCTTCGTTTTTGTCTTATTTGCTTTTTGTCATTTTTCTTATGTTTAATTCAACTTATCAACGCCTAGTTTTCTTATCTACAAGACATTTTTTGAAGATGCAACAACAGGATAAACGATTAGTAATAATAACTTAAATACATACAACATACAGCAAACGCAGTCATGTAAGGTAAAAAGGGTAAACGTTTAACGCTAGACACTAGTTTCTTAAAGTTACAAAGTTTCTTTGTCATCACAATGTGTTAAATTCCCTCGTTGGGGAATCTGCTTCAACTTCTACGTGGTTTGCAAGTTGGTTTTACGTTTCGGCTGGATGCGTGAAAGAATACGAAGCATCGAAACAACCGGCGCTTCGAAGGACACCGAAACGATGAAACCCAACGCGTAGGAAGCGACAAGTTGTCCCAGGTACAGAATTACCACTACTTCTTTGCCAAGATGCAGAGGGCTGTCCATGTTCATCGCCATCATTCTTATCACAATCGGATGTAAGAGATAAGCGCAGTAAGTAACTCTACTGAATGGGTAGAGAATTGTTGCTGATAGAATTGAATTCGCAACTCCTAGAATCACACACAATATTTAGATGTATAATAAGTTGCCTATGTTAAAATATGTACTAACCTCCATAACCTGTAGTGCAAGCAATTACAATCCATGCCAAACCAAGTGCCCACGCAGAATGACTCAAACTACTGTAAGCAGCGCCGGCAACAGGTGATAAATCAGCTTCATATAATCCATAAACCAAAGACAACAAACACGCAGATGCTAATGTCCATCCAATGGCGACGACCCAGCGTGACATCTTGATACGACAGTTGGTTTTGAACAGAATCCATCCAGCACACATCCCGATTAAATATGGACCCAGGCGAGTATAAGGTTTATCGTAGATTTTATCAAATAGAGCTAGAGGATCATCTGTGGATGGAAGATGACTGTTGATGAAAGCGACGTAAGCAGTGGTGCCCCAGGAACTGAACATGAAGACTGCTAATAGGGTTGCAGCACTTTTAAAATGGCTGGTTGCTAAGATGAGCATTATTGCTCCAACAACATAGAATTGCGTATCGTCAGAGAGGTACCAACTCCATAACATACACTAAAACATTAATAATAAAAATTAATCAATATTTTGAATTAAAATTTAATAATTTACCATTTGATCAACAGGGAATAACGTGTTGATGTATAAAATGTTTCTCCACCAGTACTGCGGGCAATTTTCGTGATCCATTGTTGGTGGTTCAAAGATAGAGTTGTAATTGAACCATTTCATGGTAACTTCAACAACGCCAAGGACATATAGATAAGGCCCTGTCAATCTAAACACAGAGAAATGGTTATGTAAAGAATTATAACCTAAAAAAGTATTTACCTCGCAAAACGATAGAAAATTAAACCAAAGAAATGAAAGATTCCGGATAACAATCCTTTCTGTCCCAAAGTATCCAATTTGCCTTTCGCATTAGTCCTAAAGTACAAAAACGACACTAATAATCCACTTGTAAAGAAAAATGTGTCCACACTGAAGGCGCCATTGGTAACAGTCTGAAAGAGGAACTCTTTCTGTACCACTTTGCGGTATTCCATATTATCTGAGTATTTGAATGCAACTAGACATGTATGACCCAAAATAACCCAGGCCATACTGATGGATTTCAAACCGTGGATGACTGAAATTGTATCGCTGCCAACACTACGGTCACAGATGTGTTTCATGTTAATCCGCACGGAAAATGAAAGAATTAAGTCCTTTAAAATAGACACTAAAAGAAACAAATAAGAAATTATATATAATGTGAAAGTTTAAGTTTAAGATGATAAGTAATATCGTACAACAAAGATGTTCTTCTCCCAATGGCATAGACTCCATTGGTTCAGGTCCGTTATTATTATTAACAACGTACAGATTGCACTTGTTTTTCGTTTTGTCTTGGATATGCATGTCCAGGATCCTGTCGTTCATTTTGTTGGGGTTGGTGTATGTGGTGCAGTTGATGGTGAGCACACGTTTGGAGTCTTCGATGTGTTTGAGGTAGAGGTCGTAGGATGTGCCTACTGTTAGCATCATTATTACAAATGCAGTCACAGCACTAAAAACAGAAAAAAAATATTATTTATGCTTTCGTATGCATAAATTTATAACCAGAATTGAAAAAAATATAATCTATAGTAAAATTATATCTAAATGAATGTTTTAAATTGTAATTTGCGTTTGTTTGTATGTTTGTGACGCTTTCAAGCAAAAACCACTGAACCAATTTTGATAAATTTTGGTATAGAGGTAGTTTAGACTAAGGAAAATAAAATAGGCTATTTTTTGTTTCAAAAATATAACTTATACGGTATAAAATAAGGGATGAAAGTTGATGTAGAAATTTAATTTTAGTTATTGTTGTAAAATTTGAATCTAGATGGCGTTAAAGTGCTTTATTCGCATTTTTCTTTTGTTTAAATTAAAATTTAGAGTTTTACTGACAGAATTGGCACATAATACGTCCAAAAAATTAAAGAAGAAATTAGTTACGCTATTTTTTATTAATATCGACGCAGATAAAGTTGCCTACATTACTATTTTTAAATTACCAAAGAAAAATTACACCACAATGAATTATTTTCCACTTTTTAACTCAAAATCAATATTTTCTTATCACTAATTCCTAAATTTACCATACGTACCATAAAATTTTAAACGTTGTATCATTCCACAATGAATAATGATGCAGTGGTGATCTCACGGCTTCCACTTTAAGCGTAATCGTCTTCGACAATTTCGAAGTCTCCTCGAGAATAAACTTAACATCATCATCATTACAAGTTTCAGGCATACACAGCCCAACATGTAAAATCCGCTCCTCAGAAGTAAAGCTAGAGTTTAAATTAACCCTCAACATAAAGAAGGACACGCTGAATGGCGGAATTGAAGTATAAAGTAGTTTTCCGGGTGTGTAGCCTGATCCCGCACTGGGATTGTTTAATTTCGTTGTGGTGGGTTTACCGTCGACATTGCGTTGGACACGTGCGGTTGTATCGTTCGCCTACGGAAGAAACGGAAAACTCAATGTCAAGGATGTCACATACTCGTATTGTACTTGATTTTTACAAATATGTACATACGATACTTTCACCGTAAGTAATACTTTTACTTATGCAGCCGGAAGGCATGGTAAAAGAAAACGTTTTTTGATGAACTTACAGTAATGAAACTGCCGCCTTTGGGCGCGATGTTTTCACACAGGGATTGGGAACCTGTCCAGAAGTGATTGCCCCAGAACCAACCAGTGGAATATCTGCCACTTGCATCGTCCACTAAAACAAAATAACAACAAAAATTAAGAAAATATTAAATGAAATGCATAAGTATACATAAAAAATAGTTGCGTTAGTTACAACGATTATAACTCAAGAACGCATGGATAGATTTTGATGATCTATGATTTATTGGATTTGTCTTAGACCCAAATAGCAGAATAATTATTAAAATATCAAATACTATTATTTAAACAGTGTTAAATATGCAATTAAAATTTATAGAGAGATTCAAGCATAGTTATAGTTAAATAATTGAACTCCAGAGGGCGCTGAAGTGCATTATTAGCATTTCTCACTTTTTTAAAAATAAAATTCAAGATACAGAATGAAAAAATTGAATTTTTAGTAAAAACTACAGATAAAAAGCTTTTTTAACACAGATATTAAAACAAATTGTTACGAGTATTTGAAGATTTAGCCGGTAATCGATATATAATCCGATAATGCGGTAATTGCTGGATCACTTTCTCCGTTCGCGATGAACGAATCCACACCTCGGTCGTTTACGCGTGACTTCGTTTCGCGTATGTTCCGCGAGTTCGCTCCGCTTCTTTGCGATGATGAAAACTGCGGAAAAGACAACTCAATCGCTTTTACGAACGGTGCAGTCTGCTGCGTCTAATAGTAGGTTATTGACATGATCTCGGTTTTATCCGCACACTTTTAATAAAAACAATACTTTACTTTATTATTCTTATTGTGATATGCGGTAAGTTCAAGGAAACAACCACATTTTAAATTATTGACGAGTTAGGTTATGTTATGAAATGTAAGGTTAGAAAATGTGTATATTGATGCTTGTTTTTTTTTCTTACTCAATGTAGTGATAATTTTTACAATGCGTCAATAATTCTACTTATATAAACTTCAAGTGTATTTTACTTACGTAAAAAGTGCGTATCGATTGTTTCGACGATGTTATGTGTGAATATTTGTTTATAATACTCATTATGATAAACGTGTTGCGTGATAGTACAGTATATTGTACCATCTTATAACATGTACATGTATCTTGTATGCTAAATAAGGAATTCTATTGCATTGCAAGGAGAGTTGATTTATACTTGTAGGAAGCGAGTATTTATTACCGATTGGCATGCGACTGTTAATAAAAAGCAATTTCTCCAACACAATAGACTTTGAGAGCATACAAATTGCATTCACGTTGCAACAAGTTCAAAAAGCGTTCAGAATTGTCACAAAAAAACGATTAATAACAACGTTTCACTACCTACACAATACAAATGTTTTAAATTGACAGATTTTGTGTATAGTTGGTTGCCTACCATGATGCAACACAGGTTATACAGACTAAAACATTAATTTAAACATTTTAAAATTATTCCACACCCTAAATTTACTTTGTGACATTGTTGTCCAGACAAGTTAAACTTAATTTATTTCACATTCTGAACCGCGAGTGCGAAGGACACGGTGAAAGTGTTTCTCCCGTGAGATGAAAGTCTTACGTAATATATCGACTGTCGGTGTCGCGAATCGAGTTCGGTTACTTCGACAGAAAGTTTCGAGTACGAGTAAAGTAAGTAAACTTATGTGTTTACAAGTAGATCGACTTGCTTCTACACGAGAATAATATCTTCCTTGTATGTTTAAAAAAACACTTTAATTCTAAACAATTGCCTCTCACTTTGTGACTCATGTGTGTTTTATGTGAGGCTTAATTGAAGGAATCTGTAAATGCACTTAAAATATTGAACGCATTAAATGCAATGTGTTTGTGTTGTAGAATTCAACATGTCCGGGTGTTACGTCGCTGTGGTACCGATAAAATTGCTAAAAGTAATTACACCCTGTTGTAGATGAGTGTGTTTATCATATTTATGATGTCTGTATTCGTTTTAATTATTTACGAAGTGCAACTTGCAGTTTTATGGCGTTTGTGGTTGATTTTATGGATAATTAATTATAACAATTAGTAAAATCAATAATTTTTATTGCAAACTGAATAATTACTATATTTTGATGATTTTTTATGATTATTTTGAGTTTAATTATTGTTTTGTTTCAGAAATCACTTCTTTTTGCGTTGCTGTTAAATGGGTTGCCTAACCAAACCCAATGTGACATAAATTTAGTGGAATTAAAACTATGTTTCTCGTGTCGCTTGCACTAATGAAGTTTTTTGTTTTATTTTATGGATAATTAATGGTAACTATTAGCCAGATCAATAATTTTTATTGCAAACTGAATACTTACTATATTTTGATGATTTTTAATGGTTTTATGAAGTTTAATAATTGTTTTGTTTCAGAAATCACTTCTTTTGCGTTGTAGTTAAATGGGTTGCCTAACCAAACCTAATGTGACATAAAAGTGGAATTAAAACTATGTTTCTTGTATTGCTTGCACTAATGTGGTTTTGTGGTTTATTTTATGGATAATTAATCGTAATAATTTGTCAAATCAATGATTTTTATTGCAAACTGTATAAAAACTATATTTTGATTGTTTTTTATGATTATTTTGAGTTTAATTATTGTTTTGTTTCAGAAATCACTTCTTTTTTGCGATGCGGTTAAATGGGTTGCCTAACCAAACCTAATGTGACCTATAAATTTGTGGAATTAAAACTTCTTGTATCTCTTGCACTAATGAACTTTACGCTGCCATAAACATTTTATACCATATTCATTTGACTTCAAAGCGTCACTTTATGTCTAATCAATTTTCCACGTCTTGCATAACACAAGCAGAATTTCATCATCAAAAATTGTAAATTTTACGATTTGTGCTTCGCTGTGAATTCCACAAGCTTGTAAAACGTAAATTACCTGTTAACAACAAAGTAACAGCGTGTTGTTGTTGTTAATAACAAATTATTATTACAAATTACAAATTACTAATTAGATTAGTCTGATTGAATTTGTTGTGAGTGTGATCGAGATTTAATTAAAGTGACTGGGAGCTGAACTATATAGTAGAAATTGAGAGTTTCAAAATTTTCGACCGCACATTAGCAACTTGTTTACCTTGCGCTGAAAGACAATCGTTCTCGAAGTCAGCTCTCAAGAGGCCAAACACGTATTTGAAATGCAATTGTTAATGACACTTGGTTGCTATATTGGTTGCTACATGCACCCAACAGTTGGTAATTATTGTTTACAACAGTTATTGGTTATTTATCGCTGGATTTAAAAATTGTGCAATATGCAAAAACAATTAAAATCATTCTTGGTAAAAATTCACGTTTTATTCTACTAATTTCACTTAAAATAATTTTTTTGTCAAATTATTCTAATATAATTCTTCAAATATGATTTTTTTAAATCTTTTTCAACTACTTAGAACTATTAAAATTGAATCGTACTTTAGTTTGAGTACTTTAGTCACGGCTTTGGTCATCTGTGTATAAAATATCACTTTTGGTGTCTCAAAGCGGTAGAAAAACTGGCGCTTTAAAGGTGGAAATAGAAAAACATTAAAATCATACAAACAAACAAATGTCTTAAGTATTTTTTCTTTTGAAACTCAACAAGATAAACAATCAATCAAATTGTTGTTATTGTCAATTATTGTACAATGTGGTTTTTGTTTGTTTATGTGTGCAAATATTCGTATATCTGCACAACTAGCAAATGTTACTGCGCACTTAAACACTTTATAAGGTTCTAATATGTTTGTTAAACAGTCATTAAATAATTTATCGTAGTATGAGGATATTCTACGTAGAAAAGACGCCAATAATTTTATTTGTTTATTTGTGATTTCCTTCAATAGGCAAAATAGGTAAAACCATAACCACAAAATTTGGTGATTTTATTGACGGAAGTACTTTAGTCACGGGCTTTAATCACGGGGAGCAGCTTGCGCCTGCGCATTATGTAGCTAAACGTTATTAAACAAAAACTTCCGTTTAGCCATTTGATACTTAATATACTCTTGTAATTGAACACATCTCATAATACTAATTATCATTATGTACCTATCATGTAACAAGTGATATTAATTAATTAATTGACGCAAATTAGTGAATCGTAATATGTAATGTTTCGTAATGTGTAATTTATTGCGTTCGATGCGGATGATATGACGATGCTCAATACACATAATCGTCTACACTCAACATAATCCTAACCTCAATATAACTCTTTAATTTTTTTCGACATTACATTACATTACATTACAGTACGGTACATTGGTCAGTGGTTACACATTCATCATTAAATATTATGTGATATAACGTGCGAGTAGAGTAAGAAAGTATTACAGTTAATATTAAATATCACCTAATTATCAGTGTTAAATTTAATTTTTACTATATTATATCAACCTCATAATTTGGGTGTAATTATTAAGTAATTACAGAAGCAAATTAATTACATTATGCAACCAAAACTACAAGTATTGTTTGAGTTAGTAGTTTTTAAATTAATAGCTTTTAAATCACACCTGAATTCCATTGTATTTCATTAATTCCTGTGCTAATTATAATTATATTTAATTTACACTTATGTGTTCTTCAAGTTATGAAATTATTTAAATATGTAGGTAATAATATTCAGTATTAACGTGTGGTGTAATTTGGGAATTGATTTCACACTAGTGTAAAAAATACTATCTTACATTGTTTTACATTTTTCTTATTTTGTTATTTTTAGCTTTTGACGCAAAACTTAGATAAAACTAACCTCAAAATATATTTAATGTTTTAGTTTTCATCGGTAGGTGGCACTGACGAAGCAATAAACTGTAAATTAGTCAATTTAACATTAAAAAAATTTCTTTTGTAATTTTGCGTACATTTTATAAGGAAAGCCAATGAACAATAAAAAACGTAACGATCAAATCTGCATTTTCATATTATTTAAAACAAAAATTATTTAAAAAGCAGGAATGACATTTAAAATTGAATAAATATTTACACTTGCTATATAATACCAATAATTTATATATAATTTGATTAAAATATCTACATAATAATAATAATATTGTACAATTTGATTTCATTTGAATTCCGCGATTTCAATTTGCTTCTT